CCTTTAGTCTTCTATCTGAAACAGTAGAAGGGAAAATAGCACGGACAAGCCTGATGTGCTTTTATATAAGTTGACACATCCCTTGCTCTCATATCCTACCAGCTCCAGCTCAGCAACCAGGCCATACATCTCACTGCTTGAGGGGTAGGGGCATGCAGTCTAGCAGGCTTGCCACACCCTTGACCCTCCCACTTCAACAGAAGAAGGCAGAGGCTCCATGCTGGTGGCCAGCTGACAATCCCTTAACACAAATATAGATCATCAGTGATTTGGAATAATAAAGAAGAGAAAGAATGGCTTTATCCAGGCAGGAAGAGCAATTTAAATAACCAGGCTGTTAAACCTCACCAGGTCCCCAATTCTTTCCTTTCCTTCTTTTTTGGTCCTCTGCTTACTCTCTTTTTAAAAACATGTTAATTAATTAATTAATTAATTTGGCTACACTGCATGGCATGCAAGATAGATCTGAACAGGGATTGAACCCATGCCCCCTGCAGTGGAAGCACAGAGTCTCAACCACTGGACTGTCAGGGAAGTCTCTCCAATTATCTGATAAACAAAACCTATTCTAAATCACTTCCAAACATGTTTCAATCTTTTACATTTCTGTGGTTCTGGGAGCTAGTATTAAATGGGTGTCACATGAGGCTGGAGCAGTGTCATGGAAATGGTGTGTCTTGGAAATGGTACAAGAAAATTCATGTTAGGTGGATAAAGCGAGTCTTGAAAAATCACTGTTTTTTGTTGGAGATTTTAAAAAAATCAAGTGACAAATAATGATCAAGTACGTACTACATACCAGATATTTTGTCCCATGCTATAGAGGGCACAGTCAACTCACTCCTTCTGAGAAGAGATTATAGACTATTTATGGGGGAGCTGAGTGGGATGATGAAAAGGGAAGATAACAAATGAAGCAGAATGGGATACGTTCCCAGGGTTCTAGACCTTGCAGTAGGGGGTAAGACATGAGGTGAATATTAAATGACCCCTGAATATATTTTACAAGATTTTTATGAAGAAAAAAAACCTCTAGCAAAAGTTTGTTTGCCTGTAATTTGTCACTGACAATAGGAGACATGAAATTTCCATTCATTGAAAGTTCTGATTAATTAACATGAGGTTAACTATAGTTTTAACTGCAAATAAAAATGCATGATGCCACCCTCTATTTTATAGGCAATGAATTAACTTAAGATTCTTTATGAAGTAAAGTTGGACCTTTAGGTTATGAAAGCATTCCACCCCATTTACCTATTTCTATGAAAATATATTCTCAGGTGTTAAAATCTGTTGAAAATTCTGTCAACTCCTGTGCTCTACTGCTGTTAATTCTTAGCCAGTCATACCTCTAATACATCCCAGGATGCTCATCTTTGGACAAAATGGCCTTATTCTGACTTTACTTTTGTGTAGTTTAAGCTTTAAAAAATTTGTTTTCATAGATATATCACAATCCTGAGGAATTTGCAGAGAGAGTGTTTCTAGCCATTTTCAAGTTTAGTTTTGGCTTCTGAGTCATGTCTTCTTATAAACTCACTGCAATTATTTTTTGTTTTGTTTTGAATATCTGCTTCAAGTTACCTTTCTACTGTAACACAAGACCTGGGACAAGGAGGCAGGAGACTTGCATTTCAGTTGACTTTGTCACTTACTAAGTGGGCACGTCCTTGACTCTGATGGGGCCCTGGTTTTGCTTATCTGTCAAATGAGAAGTCTGAGACAGAAGAGGCTGTCCTCTCTTTGAAACACTATTCTTCTATACATTAATATTGGTTTATTTTTCTTCATTTTGCTATCAATCCACTCGATTAATTTTCATTTTTAAAAGGCTCTCTTTCCTTCAGCCATTTTCAAAAGTATTGTCAGAAGCCCATTTGAACCACTATAACCAAAGGTTCTTAAGATGCAGATTTTTAATTCCTAATTTACTAACTCCATTTACTAAATCAGTTTCTAAGGAAGTACCTCTGAGTCTTTAATGTAAATACAAGCCACGTGGTGATCTTGTTAAAATGAAAACTCCAATTCAGTGTCGGAGGCAGGACCTGAGAGTCTGTATTTCCAACAAGCTTACAGGTAATACTGCTAATGCGACAACTGTACTTTGAATATTTAAGTGTGGAATCCCTAAGTCATAGTGGCAGCTCCCACCCAGCAGAACCATGTCTCTAATGGAGATAGGATTAGCCAGTTTTGGAATGTTCAGGGTGTAGCAGGTGTGCCTAAAATGTAGCATGTAGCATCTGGGTCATATAAAGTAAAGAAGAAAGGTGTTGCAGAATAACAGTGTTGGAGAATAAAGATTACAGGATATAATATGCTATGAATCAGGTTCTCTTATGAATAGTCATGTTGGACAACCACACTCATTACTGCTGGGGTATTTTAGATCAGGGGAATGTGTTGAAATTCCAAGTACCAAGTAGAAGGAAGAAGGAAAATTGTTTTCTTTTCATTGATTACTGCTGTGCTAAAGCAGTGTGTCCAAAAGTTTTGTCTTTTTTATTTCCCTTCCCCAGATTTTACAGCAGCTGTGGCTGGTATGATCACCTTGTTCATAGTCATGAAAATACAGCCTCTTTCCTGATTCTGTGTGGTGATGAGTAATAAGATTGCTTCTGTGGAGGGGTGAAAAGGTCTTAAAACTAGTTTGCTTTCTCATAAATAGTTTTAACTGCAAATAAAAATGCATGATGCCACCCTCTATTTTATAGGCAATGAATTAACTTAAGATTCTTTATGAAGTAAAGTTGGACCTTTAGGTTATGAAAGCATGCCACCCCATTTACCTATTTCTATGAAAATATATTCTCAGGTGTTAAAATCTGTTGAAAATTCTGTCAACTCCTGTGCTCTACTGCTGTTAATTCTTAGCCAGTCATACCTCTAATACATCCCAGGATGCTCATCTTTGGACAAAATGGCCTTATTCTGACTTTACTTTTGTGTAGTTTAAGCTTTAAAAAATTTGTTTTCATAGATATATCACAATCCTGAGGAATTTGCAGAGAGAGTGTTTCTAGCCATTTTCAAGTTTAGTTTTGGCTTCTGAGTCATGTCTTCTTATAAACTCACTGCAATTATTTTTTGTTTTGTTTTGAATATCTGCTTCAAGTTACCTTTCTACTGTAACACAAGACCTGGGACAAGGAGGCAGGAGACTTGCATTTCAGTTGACTTTGTCACTTACTAAGTGGGCACGTCCTTGACTCTGATGGGGCCCTGGTTTTGCTTATCTGTCAAATGAGAAGTCTGAGACAGAAGAGGCTGTCCTCTCTTTGAAACACTATTCTTCTATACATTAATATTGGTTTATTTTTCTTCATTTTGCTATCAATCCACTCGATTAATTTTCATTTTTAAAAGGCTCTCTTTCCTTCAGCCATTTTCAAAAGTATTGTCAGAAGCCCATTTGAACCACTATAACCAAAGGTTCTTAAGATGCAGATTTTTAATTCCTAATTTACTAACTCCATTTACTAAATCAGTTTCTAAGGAAGTACCTCTGAGTCTTTAATGTAAATACAAGCCACGTGGTGATCTTGTTAAAATGAAAACTCCAATTCAGTGTCGGAGGCAGGACCTGAGAGTCTGTATTTCCAACAAGCTTACAGGTAATACTGCTAATGCGACAACTGTACTTTGAATATTTAAGTGTGGAATCCCTAAGTCATAGTGGCAGCTCCCACCCAGCAGAACCATGTCTCTAATGGAGATAGGATTAGCCAGTTTTGGAATGTTCAGGGTGTAGCAGGTGTGCCTAAAATGTAGCATGTAGCATCTGGGTCATATAAAGTAAAGAAGAAAGGTGTTGCAGAATAACAGTGTTGGAGAATAAAGATTACAGGATATAATATGCTATGAATCAGGTTCTCTTATGAATAGTCATGTTGGAGAACCACACTCATTACTGCTGGGGTATTTTAGATCAGGGGAATGTGTTGAAATTCCAAGTACCAAGTAGAAGGAAGAAGGAAAATTGTTTTCTTTTCATTGATTACTGCTGTGCTAAAGCAGTGTGTCCAAAAGTTTTGTCTTTTTTATTTCCCGTCCCCAGATTTTACAGCAGCTGTGGCTGGTATGATCACCTTGTTCATAGTCATGAAAATACAGCCTCTTTCCTGATTCTGTGTGGTGATGAGTAATAAGATTGCTTCTGTGGAGGGGTGAAAAGGTCTTAAAACTAGTTTGCTTTCTCATAAATAGATCCTGAGAAGATGCCTAAAATCTCCCTGAAGATTAAATTTCTGCTAGTGTTTTAAAAAATTTTTTTAAATTAATTGACACACAACATTATATTGTTTTCAGGTGTTCACTCTATTAGTTTAAATCTCATTTTAAAAGGGTCTGTTTCTTTACATTTTGAACAATTTGTGATTGGGCATAAAAGTAGCTTACATGAATGTCCTTTTCCTCAACTGCAGTACTCTAGGGCAAAAATGGTTTTGTAGAAATGTGTGCATTTGCATGTTTAAATGGGATCTGATTTATATTGTGCCAAGCACCATTACTGACAATTATGTAGGCTCTGAAATGAAATTATGTCTAAAAAATACATGTGGCATATGTTCTACGCCAATTAAAAAACATGCCTGAGGAACTTTCTTTCTTTATTTTTTAATTCCACAAATCCTGCTAAAATCTAAGAATTGTGCAAACTGATTTAGTGTTTTTTTCCTTATATAGATATAGTGTTTATACCACTCAACTTTTGAACATTAGACAATTTAAAATCGCCTCTCATTTGTAATAATAAATCTTAAAGGAAGCTCACAGAATTCTTACTAGACACAAGCTATGTGCCAAGTGGTTTGTATGGATTATTATTTTCCTCTGCTTTATAAGCTCCATGGCCTAATTGCTCTGTTTAATATGAACATATGGAAGATCTGAATGCTCAGGTGATGATGCATACACACACGAGCACACACACTAAACCAGTGTGAAGAAAAGAAACAAGAACAATCTTTAAAAAAACAAAAACTTAAAGTCATGTGACAGATTTAGGAAATTCTTTTTATTTACATAGAAATGTGTACACATACTTTTTCTCTGTACACAGAAAACCTAAGTGTATATACACATATGGTTCCCACATATTTTACAATAAATAGTAGTTTGATCTTGTTCCTAGGTTAAAATAAAATGATGTCTCAAAGTATTTCACATCAACCACAAAATTACAAAAGCACCCGATGAACTCAGAGCAAAAATTTCAAGCCTGTACTACCACACACTAAGCCTAGTACAATTTTTACAAAAGACAAAAACAAACACTGTGCAGGTATCACCAGCAAAAGGAAAGGACTAGAGATGCAAAATAGAGACGAGAGTTGTTGGCTTTTTGAACAACGTAGTAAGAGCATTTTATAGTAAGAGCATTTTGTTCTTCCTTCAGCTGTCAGTTCAGTGTTTTACTTTGATATTTTACAGATAAGAAGGGGGAAAAAAGTTGATGGCTATCGTAAAAGGAGTAACCATTCCATGAATCTTCCAGGTTCTACAAACATTTTTTTTACTGGTCAGCCAGATTCTCTCTCTATGCTAATTCGAAGATCATCCAGTTCTATGGCACAGATGACATCTGACCCCCTCAGAGAAGATGAAGAGGATGTTGTTATGAGACAACATTCATTAGGAAGTTATCCCAAAAGCCTAGGGAGTCATGTGTCTTGGTTATTAGCATGATGATAATTAGCATTGTTTAAATATACTCTTTATTTCCACAATCCGATCCCCCATTTAAATAGCTAAATGCAAGGAGAACTTAATCTAACAGGCTAGAAATAATGAATACATCATCCTGGAATTTCCTCCTTTCAATTCCAATCTTTCTCCCATTCTAGCTAGCCTAGGAAACAATTGCTTTCTCTCAATTTCAAAGTTGTTCTACACAGGTATACAAAAAGCATACCACCAAATGAATAGAATTAGGTTACAGGGGGAAAACAGAGTTGTGATATTTTTGACAACCTCACATCACTGAATCTGGCAAAATAATCTAAAAACATCCTGATCATCATCATTGTTGAACTGACTTACAATACAATCAGATTTGCTTTTTTAATATACCAGTATTACTACTCAGATAAGAATCCTAAGGATGGTGACCAACCCAAGGGTAAGTGTTTAAATCCCACTCCACTCAGCTCTAGCTCAGATAATAATGTGTTTCATTCCACTGTGGCATTGTAACTTCACACATGAGTTTTGAAGCACATTTTACCCCTTCATCTCTCATATCACTAACAGCACAGACATGGGGAAAAAGACAGCAATAAAAAAGAATTCAATGTCAGAAATGTGATTCATCTATCAAATACAATCTTTTCAGTTACTTTACTGGATCTGCTATTTTTAAGGTAACTTTCCAAAACATACTTCAAAGGCAGCTTCATTTCAAGAGCAATGTTTATCACATGCATTATTTGGTTCTTTCCTCTTCCATGTTGCTACCATCGACTCAGAGAAACAAGAATAGCTGAAGGAGTCAGCCTCAGGAGAAAGAGGTCTTATGAGAGAGTGATGGTTTTATACACAGTTTGACTGTTTAGATTAAGGTAATTATGATCATAACAAACACATTTCAACTTTTAAGATGTTTCTTTTTCTTTTTTAAATTTGAAAACCTTATAGGGAATGAAGGTTCATTGCCAGAAACAAAAGGGATCCTTTGCCATGGAGAGCTGAGCTTGGTTCTTGGTGGTTCTATTAATAATTGAGTATATATTTATCCTTCCTTTTTATTGGCCATGGGAAGATTCAGCCAGAAGATAAGTAGGGAGTCTCACTATGGTAATTGTAGTCAGGGCAGACCTTTTGCACAAGTTTATAATCAACACTGTAAAAGGCAATGTAGATGCAAATGACCTTGAAGGGCTTGGAACACAACCAGGATACGTGGCTCTGAGTCTGCTCCTGGTAGCAGATCTTGGATGGGTCAAAATTGCACAGGGCGGTCTTCTTGGCCCGATCTGTTTTTTCATACTCAATGCGACAGTTGAAAGATTTGGATTCCTTGGTCTCCAAGGTAGACTGTGGGGAAACTTCAAACTCCACCACTTTGGAGGGGGGTACCAAACTCACTGAAACATTGCCCAGGCCGGTGGAATTATGTCGAAAATAAACACTGAAGGTTCCATTTCCATGGTCAACGATTTTCCCCGTGATGAGGAGGTTGAGTTTCACAGTTTTAATGTTGGAATGGAAGTCACCCCATCCAAACATTTTCTTAAATTTTCCTGTTTTCACTATCGGCCTCCTTTTAGTTCTTGCCAATGGCTCCTGAACCTCCGTGATGTTGGCCAGCCAATCCCAAAAGTTCTCCATGCTGTCTGCATAGGCCAAGTGTCCAGGCTTGGGGACTGGAGATTGTTTAACAAACAGGCGCAGAGGGTTGATGATCCTTGAGTGCACCACATTACCCACCAGGGTCCCCGCGGCATCTTTGTCTTCCCAATCCAGTCCCTCCGTGGCATGCACCACCTTCTCACTGTCACAAAACAGCTGTTCAAAAGGAAGAAAGAAAAACATACTTTAGGTTGGGCTGTGAGTCCACACATACCATAACCAAAGCACAGGGACAATTCTTGTAGTATTATTTCGCTTCCTGCTAAACACCATTTCACATACACAGTTGGGCTCTGCAGTATAACAGAATCACCATGTCTTTCGAGCGGTATAAATCTGTGAGTACAAACATGGAAATGATGAGATTAGGAAGAGAGGACAGTTGGTTCTTTGTATACGCAGGTTCTGAATCTACTGGATGCAGCCAACACTGAACTGAAATTAAAACTAAACAAAAAATCCCAACTGCCCCCAACTCAAACACAGAAATTTCCAAAAAGCAAAACTTGAATTTGTCACATTCTGGCAACTATTTACATAGTATTAGGCATTATAAATAATCAAGAGAAGTTTTAAAATATACAGAAGTATGTGCATAGGTCATATGCAAATACTAAACTATCTTATATAAGGAATTTAAACATCCCTGGATTTTGGTAGCCAAGGGGATCTTGAAACCAATCCCCCATGGATACCAAGGGATTACTGCATTTCATTTTAATGGGTTGATGTGGCTCTAGTCTCTGTCTCCTAATCTTTACAATTCTATCTTCCCAGACCAGGGGATATAGTATTTTTTGGTCTCTTATTGGATAAAAACATTCAATTTATAAGGTCTTTTTTTTTTTTAGGTAGAAAATAACTAGTAAGCTGAGATTTCTACCATGGAGCTAGAAACCATATGAATATAAGATATTGATAAGACTCTTAAAATATATTTGTAGATAGCAAGCATATTATTATATTCAAAAGCTTATGTCATATAATTTCATAACTTGATGTAGTTCAATTTTAAATTCTGTAATTAAAAGTAGCATGAATAATAATATAGAGTTCTATAAAAGATTTAGTTGAAAAAATGTAATTTCAAGTTATCTGCCTTTATAGAAGCAGAAATAAATTGGAAATGTATATTTTGAATTAAGTAAATGTTTATAAATAAATTTTATTACAACGGAATAATACCCTGAAAGATAGGATTGCTAAAAAAGAATCATGTGCCTGTGTTTTATGGATTCCACAGTATTTTGATTCAAATCATTCCCCCTGAAACACAGTACTTTATTTGCATTTGATTTTCTTTTAACTCTCTTTGCAGTGTAAGAGTCCTCATGGTTTCTAAAAATCATTTAGTTAAGTCAATATGAATTTTGAGAGACAGATTCATAATATATGAAACTGCTGCTTGGAGTGGATATTTATAGATGAATTATAAAGTCTGGAAAATAGAGGTTTCTCATGGAAACACAGATAGCCTCTTATCTCTAATGGCACAAACCACTCTGGTAATGATTCTCTGGAAAACTGTCAGCGTGATGAAAAGGATGAGAAGGAAGTGGGGCTGTTTTTATGTACTGTTTCCCCAACCCTTTCAAACTTGGCGAAGTACCTGGTAAAACCAGTCTCAGATTATCACAAGAATTATTGCTTTCAATTCAGTTTTGAGAAAAAAAAAAAAAACTGGCATAGCTTGGATTGTAAATATTGCACTTGACTATATGGTAGAGTTTAATAATATGACATTATATTTTATACATTCATAAAATTTAAGTTCTAATAGAGTTTCATGAGAACTATTTTCACCTATACCTTGTCCCTGAATACTTTAGAGGAGGAATGCAAGGACTTAAATGTGTGTGTGTATTTTTCTTTTTTGTTTTCTGCTTTGGTGGGGAGGGGGCACATAATATATATTGATCCCTTTGATTAATTCCCGAAGGCTTTTCCCACTCGTGTCTAGTATTTTCAAAAATTCTCTTCTCTACTTAAATTACTGAGGTTTGGCAGAAGGGAAAACTGATATTCTGCACATTCTTATTGTTTTGAAAACCTGAATTCATAGGGTCTCGCACATCCTGAGTCGATACTTCTTTCTGTCTCCTGGTGTTGAAGGACTGGCATAGTCACCAGAAAAAGAAGGATCATTACTCAGGATTTCTGGCTCAAAATATTCTGGGTATTTCTGATACTGTTACTAGTTTTCTGACTTTGAATACTCTTCATTACAATGTGCACAGAGCTTCATTGAGATCAACTGGTCAGATAGCCCATGGAAGTCAGTACTAGCTACAGATAGGACTTGAGCTTGCTAAGAACTAATGCAACCTGGTCCAAGTGACTTGTCCTGTCCTCTCTCCAAGGAGACAGTGAAGGACACATGGACAGATAAGAAACCCCTTGCTGATCAAGGTCCAGTTTCTCTTCTCTGTGATTATGATTCTTGCTATTATTATTTATCACCTTTTTCCAATATTTCATGAGATGTGCCTTGCTTGGTCAACATTGACAGCCACACCTATCAATCCTGAGAATGGCCGGTACTAAAGGACTTAATTTCCTAATCTCTATTCCCCAATTTGTCCAATTTCCTAACCTCTTCCTTCACTCCTGTCTTTCTTCCTATCGTTCATACGATAAATCCCTTCTAGCTTGCTTAAAAACAAACAAACAAACACACAACACCTCAATTCTTACTCATACACAATATGCTTGTGCTCAAGTGCTTAGTTGTGTCCAACTCTCTGGGACCCCACGGACTAACATATACACACTAGAGACAGTGACTGTCAGTCATATCAGGGAAGATCCCCTGGAGAAGGAAATGGCAACCCACTCCAGTATTCTTGCCTGGAAAATCCCATGGACTGAGGATCCTGGTAGGCTACAGCCCATGGGGTCTCAAAGAGTCGACACCACTGAGCGACTTCACTTTCACTTTCTCTCATCTCTAGGACTTCTGATGTGATAGTTCTAAGATGACTCGATAATAATTACTCAAAAAGTCGCTTGTTAATTTTCAAAAATACTACAGATTTTCATTGTAGTAACTGATGTTGTAACAATTTGACCCAAATATAGGTGACTCACCCTAAGGGAAAAAAAAAAAAGAAGACGAAACTTACCAAACAGATAAATTAGATGTAATTATTTGCTTTTATAAACACTCTTCTATTTTTCAGGAAAGATTCTACAGATGACAATTGAAAATGAAATTTGAGTCTTAAAAAGTATATTCTAACACAATACTCTTTATTTTCAAATCTGCTCAAGTTGCCTTTGATTTTAAGGTTTGCCTATGTAAAAATAATGCAATTTAACTCTTAAGCACAGATCTATAATTGTCCTCTGTTTCAGTGAAAACTGTCATTGAGGATTCCTTAGATAAAAAGTTCCCTGGTGGCTCAGAGGTTAATGCCTGGAATGTGGGAGACCCCGGTTCGATCCCTGAGTTGGGAAGGTCCCCTGGAGAAGGAAATGGCAACCCACTCCAGTACTCTTGCCTGGAGAATCCCATGAGGGAGGAGCCTGGTAGGCTACAGTCCATGGGGTTGCAAAGAGTCAGACAGACTGAGCGACTTCACTTTCACTTTCTTAGATAAAAAGCAGATGTATGCATCTTTTAATTTTTTTGCTTTGCCCTAGACTCTACTTTGACAACATTAAACAAATTGAGAAAAGCTGGGTAATGGCAACCCACTCCAATATTCTTGCCTGGAAGATCCCATGGATGGAGAAACTTCGTAGGCTCTAGTCCATGGGGTTGCAAAGAGTCGGACATGACTGAGCAACTTCACTTCACTTCTTCAACTTATTTATTACTCTAAAATGTATGGACAGTTCTTACAAGTACTATTTTCCAAATCTAAACTCAAATTTCAAAAAGTTATTGGATGATGATGATGTATGTAGGTAGAAGAGTGTAATTAAAAAAACAAATATATTTCTAGTTGTCTTAAAAAGCTGCTAGTTGTACCTCTTCTTCCAACTTCCTCTCCCTGGGGTATAACTTGTTCAGCCTTCTCCCTAGAATGCTGCTTAAATGTGTGCATCACTACTGAGAAGACATCCTCTCCTAAACAGGTCTACATAGATAGTTGTGTGACCAAGTTCCCAAGGCTCATGCTTAACCTCAAAAGACCTACTCAGGGATGACTGTGATTTGAATGAACCACAATCCCGCCCACACTCATCCAATATACTCCCAATATGGAAGCAGCATGGTAGAAAAAGGATAGGATTTGCTGCCTGATGACCTCATTGTCCCTTGACATAAGCCCCAATTTTCTCACCTATACCTTCTTTGTTGGTTGATTGTAAGGACTAAATTTAAAAAATGGATAGAAATTACTGAGCCCAACCTCTGGCAAAAGACACTCAGAGACTGATGGGTCTTACATTATCCAATGGATAGTTCCATGCCTCCTATTCAAAAATTATCTTCAAAAGATGATATGGATTCTCAGGTCTCCAGGGAACTGATTAGTGATCAATCAAGCAACTTTTTCAGTGCCATAGGATAAATTAACGCGTAGAAATCAACCCTAGAGCATCAATCAAATGCTTCTTCGCGCTTCCAGTCTCACTGACATCTGAGTCATACCCAGATCACAGGGACAGATGAGCATCCTTAGCTAACAAAATGTGTTTGTGGATCTTTGATTTCAGCCTACCAAATGAGTCAGCGAAGGATCTGAAAGTGCCAAGTGTCTGGCAGGACGCTCATTCCTCTGTAGACAATTTCAGTGATACAACACGCTGGGAGAGGACTGAGGTGGATCTGAACCTGTTGGCAAACCAGTCTGTCCAAGGCAAGGTTGTTAGATGTTATCTGCAAAACACAAGGCTGTATCCCCCACTGCTTTTGTACTTGCTGGGGTTCTCTATGCTACTATCAATATCATGGCTGTCTTTTGTCCCATCATATTACAATAATAATGCAAAAACATTTAACTGCTCGCATGAAATGGAGTTTTAAAGCCCAACCTCTGGCAAAAGACACTCAGAGACTGATGGGTCTTACATTATCCAATGGATAGTTCCATGCCTCCTATTCAAAAATTATCTTCAAAAGATGATATGGATTCTCAGGTCTCCAGGGAACTGATTAGTGATCAATCAAGCAACTTTTTCAGTGCCATAGGATAAATTAACGCGAAGAAATCAACCCTAGAACATCAATCAAA